TATATCAAGTCTAATGACTGACAAGTTTTTCTTTTTCTAAACTATATGGAAGTTGTACTGCCAAGTTTTTAAAAGAAAGAAATATGCAGTTTCTAATCCTGACATAGGATTTGGGTTTATATGCCTCCAATCGATGAGTAAAACAATATGCTTCAGGGGCCTCCCTGGTGGCGCACGGGGTTAAGCCTCAGCATTATGAAGCATTCCACTGCCACTGTAGCATGAGTTCGATTCCTAGCCAGGGAGGTGACCCACAGGGGACAGCAGACCTCTCCTGTATCGCCCGCTGCTTCCCTTAGCAGTGTATTTCAGTCAGTCCGCCTGTTCTGTTCCCCACTCTGTCTCTGGTGAATCCTCTCACCCCCCACCTCTGCCTTACACCCCAGTTCTTGTATACATAAATAAATAAATCTTTAAAAAATAAATAATATACTTCATTATAATTCATTTTAATATTTTTATGTATCTATGTCTTTAAATATTTTCTACCATGTGTAGTACCCTTTATGTTCATAGCTTAGCAAATTTAATTTCTGATCACTTTTTAAATTAAGAAATACTATGAATCAAGCAGAATATGTACAAAGAAAATTTCTCAACAGTTGCACAGTCTGGTTCAACAATTACTAGAGAGATGAGAAAAACATTTGAAATCGTTAGTCACTAAAACTAGTTAAAACAGTTGTCTTTATCACCAAACACTGAATATAGCAAATACATTTTATTCAGAGATAAAAGTTAATTGAAATCTTGAAAGACAACAGAGAACACTATTGAATATAGTTTTTAAGCAGTATTTCATTTTGCTGTTAATGCACTATATGTAGGTTGTACATATAATATGAAGAAGTATATTAATTGTTGCTTACTTCCAAAGCAAAACTTGAAAAAATTTGGAAGATTGTGACAACCATGAGCTCTAAATTTTATTTCTTTTGTACATTTATAGCCAATATCATTTATTTATTTTTTATTTTTTAGCCAATATCATTTATTGAGGTAAAATTTTACTTTTGAATTCTTGTTTTTCCGTGATAAAATATTATTCTCTTATTGGAGAAAATATTGTTGAGTTTTAAATGATAATAAGAACTGAAGATATGCATACTACATGAAATATTTAGACATTTTGTTATCTTTTATTTAACTTTAACTATAATTTAAGTATTTTTGTGTACAAGGCAATTGGTAATTAATTTGCATGACCCTGAATTGAGAAATTTTCTGTTTTATTACATTATTTATAAGGAAAGCATTTGTGAATTAAGAAATCAGATGTCTATTTTTCATGCTGTTTTCTTTACTAAATAGATTTTGTCCTTTCAACACTTAATATTTAAATGGATTTTTGTTCTTTGAGTTTCTCCCTGTTTATGTAATTTAAGCTCCTTTTATGGAGTTGAGATTCTAACTATACTTAATAATAAGTTAAGCAAGACATTTAATGAGGTGCCTAGGTAATATTTTGAATGATTTCATTCTCCCATTCTTTATGTGCATGTAGCTGGAAAATTAAGGGTGGCTTCCAAGGGACCTGCCACAAAAGTAGAGGTAATATGATCTCTTTTAGAGTAGTGAAGGAGTGTAGTCAGTGTTCATTACTTCATTCTCCAGTAGATATTTTCAGCACTAACTTGCTTGGAAAGCTAAGGCAGAATAAGAGGCATATTTAAAGTTAGATACCACTTGTTTCTGTATGCATATGATAAGATTTCTTAAAGATAAAAGTATAAAGGGTACTGGAAATGTACAAGTTAATATGTGAAATTTCTAATTTTATCAAGAAATTATGTTCTTATTGCAGTATAATAACTATACATTTATTAACTCATAGTGCTTTTAAATGACAGGAAATGTTTATACATCTCAATTTAGAAATAAATTGAGTCTAATGGAATAAAACACCTCACTTTTTCTTTTTAAAATAGTTTAACAGTATAAAATACAGAAGAAAATAAATATAATACTAGTTGGCTAGAGCATGGGAAAATTTGTATGGTTTTTCTAGAGCAGATGTAATGTGTAAAGATGTAATGTGAGTCACATGAGCAATTAAAAATTTTCTAGTAGTCTCATTAAAGTAAAAGTAAATAGCTAATTAATTTTAACTATAATTTAATTAGTCTAATATATTTAAAATTTTATCATTCCAACATTAATATAGGAATTATTGATGAGATTGTATTAAGCGTTTGAAATGATGTATGTCTTACATTTATAACATCTCAACTATGAATGCTAAATTTAAAAAAAATTTTTTTAAAAGATTTATTTATACATACAAGAATTGGGGTACAGGCCAGAGTTGTGGGAGATGAGAGAATTCACCAGAGACAGAGTGGGGAACAAAACAGGCGAATTGACTGAAATATACTGCTAAGGGGAGTAGCAGGCAAGTCAGGAGAGGTCTGCTGTGCCATGTGGGTAGCTCCCTGGCCGGAGATCAAACTCGTGCTGCAGTGGCTGCAGCTAGCTTCATAGGTTGTGTCTTAACCCCTTGCACCACTAGGGAGGCCCTGAATGCTAAATTTTAACTTGAAATACTTAATTTGTATTTAGCTTTCATAAAATTTACAATTGAATAAGGTAAATTAAGATATCCAAGTTGTTTCAGGTACTTAACATTTTTCCAACTAAATCAAAAATTACTGAATTAAAAATACTTAAAATTAAGAACTCAGCTTCTTAGCCACACAAGCCACGTCATGAGGACTCAGTCATTTTGTGGTTGGTGATATTTGTGTATACGTCAGAGCTAGCTTGGTAATATATGTCAGTATATCAAATTTGTATAACCTTCGAGCTAGCAATCCCACTTGTAAGTACCTAGAAAAAATGGAAAGATACTTGTAGTATAATGTTCATCAGAACATTTTTATTTTCAAAGAAAAATCAAAGACAAAGAAAGAGAACTCAAGGTAAATTCTAATAGACACATATAAAAGAAGACTTCTCAGTCATAAAAATAGTAAAGTAATAAAGTTGATAGAATTTCAGCGTATAAAGATGGTATAATGGCCAAGGGTCAAGAAAACTTCAGTTTTGTTAAGGTGTGATGGTAATATTGACGATTTTATTATATTTAGAGGTAATCTGGTCTTTTCAAGATCTTGATTAAATATCAGTTATGCACCTTCATAATTAGAAAAAGAGTATATGCTTAATAGTCAAAGAGTCCACTTTTCTACTTTCTGTTGGCTATTATCTTTCTGACTTAAAAAAAAAAAAAAAAAACTGCACTCTTTTGGGGATGTCCTGGAGTAGCAAGGTAAGAGCTTTGGAAGAAAGGAAATGTAAACTTGAAAATGAAATCACTTAAAGACCACCTTTTCAAGTTGGTATCTAAAAATACTTGGTTGTTAATTTGAATTGGTGTTAGAAATGTTTGTTAGCAGTTTTATAAATCACATGAAGTTCTGTGAATAAGTTCTAAGTTGCTTAGCTTTATAGTCCTGTAGAGCATTACAGATGAATGTGATATTGGGAAGAAGGTTTGAAACATGAATAGTGGTTTCTAGGATGCTACATAATTTGTAGATGTGAAGAGACTGACAGTCTGAGTCAGATCTGTTGAGATACAAAAAGATTAAAAATTACTTGACTCTGAAAATAAGATGTATCTTTCCCAGATAACTCAGTCAATATGCATTTAAAATAATTGTTGTCTTTTTGTTACTCTATAATAGCCATTGAAAGGATCTTTTTTATTAGCATCTTATTTACAGCTATGAGTAGCCGAAAATTTCTATTTTCAAAATAAGTTGTTTGAAAAATTTAACTTGTAATTGACATCTGGAATTTGTAGCATAACTTAATTACTTTAAAAACAATTCTGTGAATGGTGGTTTTAATTCTCAGGGGAGGGGGCCTCCCTGGTAGCTCAAGGTGTTAATGCGCAGCCTGTGAAGCTGTCAGCAGCCTTTGCAGCATGAGTTCGATCCCTGGCCAGCCAGGGAGCAACCCACATGGCGCAGCAGACCTTTCCTGACTCAACCTGCTGCTTCCCTCAGCAGTGTACTTCGGTCAGTCTGCCTGTTCTGCTTCCCACTCTGTCTCTGGTGAATCCTCTCAACCCCACACCCCTGGCCTGTAACCCAGCTCTTGTATGCATAAATAAATAAATTTTTTTTAAACTAATTTATTTATTTGTACAAGCACTGGGTACAGTCAGAAGCGCAGGCGGGTGAGAGAGAATTCACCAGAGCCAGAGGGGAGAGCAGAGCAGGCAGACTGATGAAATACACTGCAGAGGGGAGCAGTGGGCGGAAGAAGAGGTCTGCGCGCCATGTGGGACCCTCGCATGGTGGCCAGGGATCGAACAGGCACTGCAGAGGCTGCGGGCAGCTTTGCAACCCAGCGCTCAACTGCTGTGCCACCGGAAAGGCCCAACAACTCATAGTTTTTCTAAAATGTTGTGTAATTTATTTTAAAATCTTATTATTTCATCTTTCACAGATACATACAAAATGAAGCTAATTAGATTGTTTGTTCCTGAAAACATTGACACATACCTTATCCACATGGCAATTGGGATTCTGGGAAATGATTTGAACAACAGACTGTTATGTCAACCTTCTTGTGATTCCAACAAAAAGAGATGTTTCCCCAACTCTGAAGAGAGCTGTTCAAGTTCTAAGAGAAGCAAGGAAGAAGTATGCACTGATACCAAGGTATTAATTACATGTTGAATTTTCATATAGTGTTAGTTTGTTTATACTAGAATGCTGTATTTTAAACTGTTATAAATTCTGACATAAGACTACTTTAAAGAATCTATGTGCTATGATTTTCTTTGCGTTTCATAAATCTGACTTGAGAAAGTGATTTTTTTTTTTAAATACAATAAAAGGGTAGTTATTATAATATGCTAAACAGATACACTATTTGTATTGTGTGGAAAGTCAGCTTATATTTTACTGCTGCATCAGAGTAAATATACAGCTTGGAAACTCTTTCATAGGTGTAATTAATATTGGCATATGGAAGTTCATGTGGTTAATGAAAATGAAAACAAATTTATTAGAAATACCCTGAAAATGTCTTATTATTCTGTCATTAATCACATTCTGTTCCTGTTAAGTATCTAAGAAGGACAATTTGTTGGTTAGGATCCTTAGTACATCTTAATGTGCTTTTTTGCATGACCACAGAAAGACCATGAATTTAGTGCTGTTTTAGATAGTATATTTTATTAAAATTAAATGTTTTGAAAATCCTTGCTCCGGTGTAAGGTAAATAGTAACCACAGAGGGCCTCCCTGGTGGCGCAGCGGGTTGAGCACAGCGCTGTGAGGCTGTCAGCAGCCTTTGCAGCACAGGTTCGATTCCCAGCAGGCCAGGGAGATGCCTACATGGTGTGGCATACTTCTCCTGTCTCACCCGCTGCTCCCCTCAGCAGTGTTTTCTGTCCGTCTGCCTGTTCTGCTGCCTTCTCTGTCTCTGGTGAATTCTCTCACCCTCCTGCACCTCTGGCCTATACCCCAGTTCTTGTATAAATAAATACATCTTTAAAAAAAAAAGTAACCACAAACAGAGTAACTTCTTTGATAATGTGACTCTATTAAATAATTGTATAAATTTGAAAATTTGACCTTCAGTATCTTCCAGATCTAAAATCTGACTATGTTAAAAGTTTATAAAACCTATTAAGTAAACAGAATTTTAGTTCCTAGATTATAAATACAGCATGGTAGTAGATGATTGCTAATATTTACTAGAGTATTAGAAACTGCATTTCAGTTCTAAGGTAATCTTTATAAAAGTTTTCCTGCATTTTCAATATAGTGTTTCCAAGTTCAAAAAACTCTCCTGTTGTTTTTGTGTAATATTCAGAATATGGAAATTTGGTTTATGAGATGCATAGCTCTGCCACTTATTTGAACTTTCTCTTCCTTGTCTCTATTATATCTTTCCTGCTTAATTTTGATTTAACCTTTCATTTCTCCTGAGTATGGGCATTCTCTTGGAAGACAGCATTAGCTGATCAAGAGAGTTCATAGGAGCCTGTCATTCTAGCCACTTATTACCAGTCAACTGGTAACCAGTCAGCAATTGACCCTCAACTGCTATTGGGTTGAGCAAAAGCCTTGCTCTTTTCAGATGCTGTTCTCAATTTATCACGCTTTCCAGTGTAGACCTGTGTCTCTTTTGGGATTCTATGTCTTAGGCTCCTCATTGCTTGTCTCTACCTTTTCTAGTACAGATGCTATACCATATAAGTCTTTTTTTAAAAAAAAAAGATTTATTTATTTATGCATACAAGAACTGGGGTATAGGCCAGAGGTGGGGGTGGTGGTGAGAGGATTCACCAGAGACAGAGTGGGGAGAAGAACAGGCAGATTGACTGAAATAGACTGCTGAGGGGCACAGTGGGCGAGTAAAGAGAGGTGTGCTGCACCATGTGGGTAGCTCCCTGGCTGGGGATCAAACTTGTGCAGCAGTGGCTGAGAATAGCCTCATAGGTTGCGTCTTAACCCCTTGCGCCTCCAAGGAGGCTCTATACCATATAAGTCTTATGGCTGTTGGTAGTTTCTCCTCACATGCTTATTGTTTGGGTATCCTAAAAATACCTTTAAAATTAGTTTCATTATAAATGTAGATGATAGATTTTGGTTTTGCTAATTGGTTTAACTGTTCAAATGCTATGTGTAGAAATATAAAAACTATGCTGCTCCTGCCATTATATACCCAGAACCCTCTTTTATATTACTTTCCTTTTTGTTTTTCTTGACTGCATTAGAAGAGAGAGTGCTATTTCCTGCCACATCACTGAGTTTGGTTTTAAACTAAAATAATCAGTATTATTTACAAACTACTTTAAGATACTCAGGGGAAAAATGCCTTATGGATAATATATCCATCATTGTTGAAATTTAGTACTCCAGGATACTAAAAATTTTCTTAGCTTTGCTTTTTTAGGTATTTTAGTTTGGCAAAGAAAGTGGCACATGCTATAACTATTTTGAATTCTATAAAAATTATAAAGGTTGCTGGGACATGTCCTGGTGCTATTTCATCAAAAGAAGAGATTGACAGAAATTCACCAAGACTCACTTCTGGGAATCAGCCATCCAGTGATCCAGAAATAGACGATTTATTTACGGATTCTCATTCACAGGTAAATTGATTTGACAAAATTGGGGGTTTTTTTCCAAGTTTTATTGATTTGCTAATAATTATGTAAGTATATGATTAAGAGGAGTGCAACTTCACACCTCCCTGTGTGTATGTGCGTCTCTTACCATCTACCAACTTTCCCATGCTAAAACACTATCACCAGGCCTCCCTGGAGGAGCAGGGGATTGAGTCGCAACCTGTGAAGCTATCTGCAGCCTCTGCAGCACAAGTTCGATCCCCCACAAGGGAGAAACCCATAATGTGCAGCAGACCTCTCCTGACTTGCCTGCTGCTCCCCTCAGCAGTGTACTTCGGTCAGTCTGCCTGTTCTGTTCCCCACTCTGTCTCTGGTGAATCCTCTCACCCCCCACACCTCTGGCCTGTACCCCAGTTCTTGTATGCATAAATAAATAAATCTTAAAAATAAATAAATAAAACCTTATCACTTTCCATCCCCTATTCCCTTCCTTCTCTCCCTCATCTACTCTGGTAACTAGCATGTTTTTCAGAGTCTGAGAATATTCTTGTTTTGCCAGTTTGTTTTCTTTGGTTATTTATATTATACAAATTAATATGACCATCTGGTAACTGTCTTTTCTCCTTCTGAGTATTTCATTTAGCATAATCACCTCAATATTAATGTATTTTATCCTAATAGGCACTATTTCATCTTTTTAAATAGCTGAATAATATTCCATTGAGTATATATTTCACAATTATTTTATCCAGTTGTCTGTCAGTGGGCATTTAGGTTGGTTCCATAACTTGGCTGTTGTGAATAATGCTGTTATGAGCATAGAAGTATGTAAAATTTTTTTGTGTGTTTCATATTTCATGGTGTTTGGGTAAAAATATAATAGTGGTTTTTCCATTTTTATTTTTTGAGTAATCTTCATACCATTTTCCATAGAGACTGCACCAATTTTCTATAGAGGCTACATTCCCACAAACAGGGATGAGTTTTTCCTCCACATCCTTGCCGACATATGCTGTTTCCAGGTTTCTTAATATAGACCTTTGTCACGGGGTGAGGTGATATCTGATTGTGATTTTGATTTGCACTTCCCTTACAATTGGTGTTATTGCACATTTTTTCATGTGGCTGTAGGCCATTTGAATGTCTTTTTTTCTATGTAAGTTTCTGTGTAAGTCTTTTGCCTCTTCTGGTTTTGTTTGGTTTTATTTGGTTTGGCTCTTTGTTGTTTGGTTTTGTCACTCATGTGATGTGCAAATATCTTCTCCCAGTCCACTGGTTGACTTTGTTTTTGTGGTGGTTTCAAGGCACAAAGGCTTTTTAGTTTGATGTAGTCCATTTGTTTATTTTTGGTTTTGTTGCTGTTGAAGTTGCCACTCACATGCAGCCTTGTCCAGGAGTGTATTGCCTGTGTTTTCTTTTATGTATTTTATGGTATCAGGTCTTATAGCTAAGTCTTCAACCCATTTTGAATCAATTTTTGCATATGATCGCATTTCATTCTTTTGCATGTGGCTGTCCAGCACTATTTTTTTGTTTTATTCCTCCACTTTTCTCTCAGAATTGTTTTGCCTATTTGGAGTTTTTTGTTTCCTTGAATTATATCTGCTAGCAACTGAAGTTATCTGTTGGCAACAGGATTGATACTAAAACCTTTTAAGTCTTGAAGACTTGTGATTTGTACAAGGCTGTTTTATGCTGACAGTCTTTCAATAAATAGGTGAGTTGATCTTAGAGGAAAGCTTTCAGTTTTTTATCTTTGAGTATTCTTGTTGCTGTGGACTTGTCATACTTGGTCTTTATTATGTTGAGGTTTCTTCCTTCTGCCCTCTTTATTGAGAATTTTTACCATAAGTGGATTTTGGATCTTATGAAATGCTTTCTCTACATCTATTGAAATGATCATGTGATTTTATCTTTCCTTTTGTTGAAGTGTTGAATCACAGGGATAGATTTGCAGATGTTGAACCATCTTTGCATACCTGGAAAAAAATCCCACTTTTTCATGATGTTTGATCCTTTTAATGTATTGTTGAATTTACTTTGGTAAGATTTTATTGAGGATTTTTATATCTATGTGCACTAAAGATATTGGTCTGTAGTTTTCTTCTTTGTGTGTGTGATATCCTTGTCTGCTTTTAATATCGGAGTGATGTTGGCCTTATAAAATATATTTGGAATCATTCCCTCTTAAATTTTATGGAAGAGTTTGAGAAAGATGATACTAGTTCATCGTTGAAGGTTTGCTCGAATTCAATTGTGAAACCATCTTACTCTGAGCTTTTGCTTTTGGGAAATTTCTGATTATTGTTTCAATTTCCTTGTTTGTAATTGGTCAGTTCAAATTTTTTATTTCTTCCTGATTCAGCCTTGGGAGAGTGTATGATTCTAAGAATTTATCCATTTCACCCAGGTAATCCAACTTATGGTTATAAAGATGTTCGTAGTAGTCTCTTATGATCCTTTGTGTTTCTGTGATCTCTATTGTAACTTCTCTTTTATTTCTCATTCTGTTTATTAGAGTTTCTGTCTTTTTTTCTTGGTGAGCCTAGTTAGAGTTTCCTCTATTTTGTTTATCTTTTCAGAGAACCAACTCTTGGTTTCATTCATCTTTTGTGCTGCCCTTGGATTAAAAAAAATATTTTCTTCAGGAACTTTTAATTTAGGATTCAGAGACTTCAGTTAGTACATGAGCACCATTAAATTCTGCTAAGTATTATGCATGCATACATTAATTTTTTCCTCAGAAGTGTATTTCTAGTTTTTAGCAGGTTCTCAAAAAAGTCTGTGAAGCAAAAAACAATTTAAGAAATTTGTTCATCAAATTTTTTTGAATATCACCTATATCTCAGCATCTCTGCAAAGTGCTGATAATGGCTGACCTGCTTTTCTATTCTGTCTGACATTGTACATTTAGAAGTTATATGGTTTTCAGATGTCTCACATAACTTTGTGTACATGTGCATACCACATGCTTTTTCCCAGGCAGAAACATTAAATTTACCATTTTGGCCAACCCAAAGCATATACACAATGTGACATAGATGTGAAATAATTTTACAGTTCTTTCCTACCCAAGTGAGTGTCTATACCTGAGTACCTAAGAATAGATAACAGGGGGACAAGTTTGATACAGAAATAGATTGTGTAGATCTCACTGTTTTGTTTTATCTGGAGAAAAGATGTTGGATGTGTATTAAGTAACCTATGTTACTTTATACAAATAGTGTGCATTGTTAATAGTACAAATATTCTTTCTGTATTTCTTTCCTATAGATTTCATCTGAAACCTTAAATACAAAATTACCTGAATGGCGTGCCAGAGGAAATTATGCCAGCAAGAAATCAGTAACCAAAACAAAAAAGGGGGGTCTTTTTAGTTAATCTGGCATTCGTCAGAGGAATTCTGTATGTCTTGTTTTGTTTATAAGATGGGAGTTTCATTTCTGAAGGAAATAATATTTCAATTAAAAAATTACTCTATTCTCAAAGTAAAATTCAAGGACTGACATCGTAAAACAGCATTGTACTGTTTATTGAAGGACTGACATCGTAAAACAGCGTTGTACAATTCACATAAAGCATGTAAGTCTTCAAGAACCTGAGTGAGTGTATCACAGAATAGAGTATTAAATTAATTTCATACAAGATTGCTTTATGAAACTGTGTAACTGCCCTTTTTTCTAATTTAATTTAACATTTATCTGGAAAATGTAATGTGCAGTGATTTGATATAGCTAACAGCTTAGTAGTTCTTTGATGATTGTATATAATATATATTTCTATATTATCAGAATTCTGTCTTGCGAATGAAAAAAGCATAATTACTTTCAAGTTATCTTTACTATTTTTAGAAGAAGCTGTTGTACACATTGTTAAGTGGTGTTAGTAGACCAGACCAATGAAAATAAAATAACAGTTTGGACTTTATGTTTGAATCTGGTACATGATCAAAAACTTAAAAAGTGAGTCAAACTGTTCCAAAGTTCCAAAGTGAGGGAAAATTCTAGAATTGGGCTAAAATGTAACAGGAAACACTACCTAAGGGGAAATGAGGATTTGATATTTGATAGCAGTTACAAAAAGTAAAAGTTACCTTTATACCCCAACATGTCCACCCCTTATATATTAGTGGGAACACAAAGAAGTTGAACTTGAAATTATTCATTTTTTTATTGAGGTAATGTTGGTATACAACACTATATGATTCAGAGGTATAGGTTAAGTATGTTACCACCCTCCACCCACCAGCACTGCATCCATATTCCTCCACCATAGTCCATTAAGCCCCCTCCACACTTTACACTCTGCCCTCACCCTTCCCGTTTGGTAACCTCAATTCTACAGTCAGATTTCTAGGGTTTGGTTTGTATCTCTGTAGTCTAAAAATGAATGAAATCATGTGGTGTTTGTTTTTCTCCTGACTATTTCACCTAATATAATCCCCTCCAGTTCCATCTATGTAGTATAAATGGCTAGAGTTCATCTTTTTTTTTTTTCAATAGCTGAGTATTTTAACCCAGTTATCTATCCTTGGGCACTTTCCATTGCTTGGCATTTTAATAATGGTGCAATGAACATGGGAGCACATATATTCCTTTGAATTAGTGTTTTTGCATCCTTTGGGCAGATACTTATGTGTGGAATTGCTAGATCATATGATAGATCTACTTTTAATATTATGAGAAATCTGCATACTATTTTCCATAGGGTCTGAACCAGTCTACATTCCCTCCAACAGTATATGAGGATTCCTTTTTTTTTTAACACTCACCAACCTTTGTTGTTTCTGATCTTTTTAATATGGGCTATTCTCACAAATAGGAGGCGGTGTCTCACTGTCATTTTGGCTTGCATTTCCCTGTGATGATAAGTGAGCGATTTCTCATGTGCCTGTTGACCATTTGTATGTCTTTTGGAAAAGTGTTTAGCACTTTGTTTTAATGCAAACAAATATGTATTTATATATTTTGAAACTAAAAGTAAAGTAGGCAGGGCATTCCAGGATGATAGCAAACCAATATGTTTGCTTCCTTTCCATTCCCAGTTTTAGCTTCTGTCTGCCTCTCTTAATGGTGTGGACTGGAAAGTGAACAGGCCTTTAGAGTGCTGACTAGAGCCCCGTGTGCATTGGACTATTACCTGGAGACCAGTTGGAATGTCCCAGGGAAAAGAGAATTGGAAGATTCTAAGGAGATTATTGACCTTAAGGGGAAGATGGATCTAGGTTTGCTGGGATATATCAGATCTTGACATACCCTAAATACTGTAATAGGTAGACTGAATTCTTTCCAAACCCAAGGTTGGAGAACTCTGTGACATTTGGGTAGATTCATCCTGGTACATTGACAGGTAACTGATGACCTGCCTCCTGCCATAGTGCGAAGACATCCTCCCATCTTTTTCTGGGTGAGGAATCTTTGAGACCATGGAGACATGTTCATCAGAAGTTCATACCTGCACCCCTTTCCTAGGCCATGCTTTCAGTACATAGGATGCAGAGTGCTGGTCCAAACATGCCTGATCCCCAGGGACTCTGGCCTTGGTTTAACCTCTGTTTTACTAAATTCTTGGTTTGAAGGGTGGTTAAAGAATGACTGTAGGGGCTGTGAACAAAGCTTGGAAGTCTAGGCTGAGTGTTCATATATATGCACAGGAAGCCCTTTGTGGGAAAAAATAAGAGCCAGGGAGCACATGTGGCCACAAGTTGATTCTCCTACACCAATAACACTAATTCCCTGAACTGTGTCGGACTTAAGTTGATCAGCTGTGTGTTCAGTGAAGTCCATAGCTTTGTCATTTACTGGCTGTGTCACTTTGGACAAATTACCTAGACATTAAGAGTCTCATTTAAATAATTTGTAACATGAAAACATATTGCCGGGCTTAAATAGAATAGAATTTACAACAATGGTTGGCATACATAGTTGGTGTTCACCTAGTTGGAGCTTTAGAAATTTCTACCGGAAAGTCAGTGGCTGGTTGTACAAAAGGAAGCAGTCTATCTTGGCAAGCACTGCTTGGTGAAATCACTATGGTTCAACATTTGCCCATTATTGTGCTTGGTCAGCAATCTAAGGTGTCAATACCCCAAAGTGGAACCTTCTTTCAAGGGCAGATCTAGTTTGTTTGTTATCCAAGTTGACAGAGACTGATTAAATAATCAACAGATATTTATTGAGCACCTATTACTGTGTGCCAGGCACTTTTCCAGGTGCTAGACATACAGCAGTGAGTAAAACAAAAAAGTAAAAATACTGTATCTTAGGTGGGAATCTATGTTAAGACAATAAAGCAAGGAAGGAGTAGGGAGTGTTTCATTCTGGATAAGGAAGAACTTACTCAGAAGGAGAGTTCAGCTTTAGAATTAGCCTGGATTCAACAATTTTTAACTATAACCTTGAGCATATCAACCCAGTATCAGCTTCATTATTATTAACACTATTCATTGAGTCGAGCATTTAGCATTCTTTCAAGCATACCATGGAAGTATTAAAAACTAACTATTCTTATCCGTTACCTGTAGGAAAGCTACAGGGGAAGCCACATTATAATCAGAAGGTTGCCTAAAAGTTTAGTCAAAGAAATGGGCACTAAATAATTTTTATATTTAAGAACATTGGGCTAGATTTCTCAGTGTACTAAAGTAAATGCTATTTTTTATTTAACAAAGGATATAGAAAAATGGGCATTCCAGAAGCTTTTGAGAGAATAATTGGAATAATAAAATATTTGAAAGTTGATGAAATATTCTAGTTCATGAATTAAGATGGTCTTAAAATTTTTGAATAAAATTACTTTTTATTTCTTAGAAAGCTTGTTGTAGCTGTTTAAGGATGGAGATGTGGAGTGCTGAATATGCTAGATAATGAGGAGCAAGGCAGGAGAAAAGGCATCTACTGTAACCCTGTAAGCCTTGGAGAAGGCAGTGTGAGACTTGACAAGCTTCCCTTCTTCTGACCTTCTTTGTTTTGGATCCTAATACGGAAAGTTTATTATTGTTACTGACTCACCTGAATTTTATACAGTTTTGAAGTGTCTGCCAGAAACCTATCATATTCCTCCCACTTGTTGGGTGCATCATTTTCACACTGGAACATTTACCTCACTAGTGCAAGAGCACCATCTGCTGGTCAAGTTTGGTGACTTCAGGTTCTGTTTTACACAGGAAGATCAGACCGTTTTGTTTTGATTTTGTTTGGCTTGGATCAGTCTGCTTATCAATGCAGTTTTCCATGTATAAAATAATGTGAAAATCAGAGTAAGGCGGGGCATGATTGCATATTTATATCATGGTCAGTGGAAAATCCTATTTTGAACTTTTTTTTTTTTTTTTTTTTATAGAGGCATGCTTTATTTGTTTGCTGGTTTGTTTGTTTGTTTTGTTTATACATGCACTGGGTACAGTCAGAAGCGCGGGAGGGTGAGAGAATCCACCAGAGCCAGAGCGGGGAGCAGAGCAGGCAGAAGGACCGAGGTACACTGCTGAGGGGAGCAGCGGGCGGCAGGAGAGGTCCGCGCGCCATGTGGGACCCTCCTCCGGTGGCCGGGGAGCAGCTGGGGATCGAACCGGCGCCGCAGAGGCCGCGCGCAGCCTTGCAACCCAGCGCTCAACCGCTGCGCCACCGGGGAGGCTATTTTGAACTTTTAATGCCATCTAGATGGTTAAACATTTATTGGAAAAGCAAGCCTAACAACCAGCGCAAACAAAGCTGATCTGTACTCTGTACTGTGCTGGCATTTGGGTTGCATAAATGGAGAAGACAAGTCTGTCTGACAAGCTTGCGAACTCCAATAATCTTAACAGGGTGTGTGTGTGTGGTGAGATACAGGAGGTATTTATGGGGACTTAGGACAGTACTGGAGGGAGAAGTCTGACCTCACGTGCAGGAGCAGGGAAAGCTGAGATGTCTGGACCAAAGGGGGACATAGATTAGAAATACCCCAGGAGACAGTAGGGGAGGGCATGTGAGATGCCCTCTTGGGCAAGGGCACAGAACAGCATCTCCGAGACTAGAAAGATCTTTAATCTTGCCAGAAGGTAGAGTGTCAGGATAGGAAGCCAGAGAGCAAGCTTTGTTTGCGCTGGTTGTTAGGCTTGCTTTTCAAGCCTAACGCGCCTTGTCCTCTGGGTCAGAGGTTGACTCGTGCCTTCTAACTATCTACCAATGCATTTGTTTACTTTCCAACCCAAACCTTCCCCCTTTCCCACTTTAGGTCTATTAACTCACTGTTTCTTTTCTTAACTCTTGAAATTGAGTTCAATTAGGAAGTTTTGCTATTTTCTTGTGCTTTCTTGGCATTTCTTGCTAAGGTTGTTAGCATAAAACATGTATACTCATTCAGATCTTTGTTCACATGTTATCTTTCCAAAGAAGGCTTCTTGACAATCATATCTAAAATGGTTTGATGGAAATCTAAAAATGGGACAATCCTAGTCCCATCTTCATAGGTCTTATGATCCCAATATTGTGATTATGGGATTGTTTTATAATTCTGTGCTCTTCAATTTGGTAACCACTGTCCACATAAGATGGCTGCTATGAGCACTATGTAAATGTGTCTAGTGTAGTGGACAAACTAAAATTTCAATGTGATGAAATTCAAATTACATTTGAATAGCCACGTGGGGCTAGTGACTACCATTATGGACAGCTCTGTTCAGTTCCTACCTGAC